CGACTTCTGTCAAATTAAATTTTGTTGCGCCCGAATGTAATGTTGAAGGTTATTAAACTACCTTTGAAAATCGATGTTTTCAAACATCGATGGTTTAATTTTCAACATCGATGTTTACTAACATCGATGTTTTTATGGATGTCATATCCTAACATAGAGTAGCGCCTTAGGCGTAGCGCAGTCAAAACAATAGCGGGGACGGCACCTAACATTTCTGACCCCCTTCTTCCCCCACTCCCTTTTCCGTGAATGGATTTTTAACAATTTTAAATGACTTATTTTACTAGAAAATAAATAAGACATAATTCAAGAACAATGAAATAACTTCAAGGACACATCAATAAATACAATTGATGTAGAACCGTTTACAATTTTGCCTAATGGTTTGGAAAGCCTTTCTCCCCAAATGTCATGTATCAATTTCTCAAATTGTCAGCTTAAAAAGGAGGACACTATTGAATTGATAATATTTACGGGAACAAAATGTATTACGAAGGAGTACGTGGCCTTTTTCAAAATATTTACGGGGGCCATGGTCCCCTTGGCCCCTCCTCTGCGCGCGCCTGTGAGTAGCGCAACCTGAACGACCGCCATCATTTCATTTCCTCTCACTCCATTACTTCGCCAAGCATCAACCTGGGGTCGAGGAGAAATGATAACAGCCGATGGTATTGCAGAAAGTTCCCAAATTTAGACGGGTAAACTGAGACTCAGACGGGTTATTTTATGTTCTTTAACATTAAAGTACATATTTGAAATCTAGGTTTTTATGACATTCATCTTATATACAAAAGACAATGTTTGTTTTTTGGTTGGTTGGTTCGTTCGTACTTAATGCTCTGCCGTACCGTTCATGCGATTGCGATACAACTTTGTTAACTCATTGTTTGCATTTGTGGGAAGAATATAGCTTAGCACGATGGGAATATGAATATGCCTGTATACGTAGACGCGCGTCGAGGATGATTTTATGTTGACCCAAGCGTCCCTGTTCAGGCTTCCTTTGGAACGGCGATCTACGCAACCCGCAGCACCCTGAAGTATTAAAAAGTGTCTGCCCCTGCGATTGTAAAATAACGTCAGGGAGAGACAAGAGAGAGACAATCATAGACGCAGAGAGAGAAACAAAGACAGAGAAAGAGACACGGAGAGAGAGACGGGAGAGAGACAGAGAGAAACAGTGAGAGAGACGAAGAGATGGATGGAGACAGAGAGGGACAGGGAAAGAGAAGGAGAAAGAGGGAGATGGAGAGCAGACCAAACTCTGTCGGGTTCCGCTAATGGTTTATAAAACGGTCGTTAATAATTGATTCAATTTTCAATTCAAGATTTTCACGACGAGTTTTTAATCACCGCATCGGGTACTCTTATGTCAAGACGTTATTACCAAAGTTCTCTCGTCAACAAATAATAATAATAATAATAATAATAATAATAATAATAATAATAATAATAATAAATAATAAATAAAAATTGAGGGACTCAGCAAACCGATGCTTAACAATGCAGCGCGCAGATGTTCTTGTAATAGCACGTAAGATAATATTCACGTATGATAATGTTACACTGCCCCATGAGAAGATCAAGACCCGTCTCTCCGGCCCCAATTGCATGTAGATCCTCCCCTGACTACAAGAGGGGAGCCTGAAGGGGGCTATGCCCCTGAGGCGCGGACGGGTGTTCAGGCTGGACCCTGAGAGAGAGAGAGAGAGGGGAAACAAAGAAAGAAAGAAAGGAAGGAAGTTAGTTAGGAAGAAAGAAAGAAGAAACGCAAGAAAATTTATACAATTTTTGTCTTGCAAACGAATTAATCAAATTCTAAATATGTATATGTATATGGCTACTCGACCAATTAAGGAATAATTCAGAAATCAGACATCGTCTTCAATCGGATGTTCATTATCCGAGCGGACTCCGTAATTGGTTGCAACCAAACTTTAATTTTTTTTCTTCTTTTTTTGCAAATGCAGAAATTAACTTTACTAGTGCCTTTATTCAAATTTAGTGCATTAATTACTGCAATAGAAATCCTATTTCAAATTTTCAAACATCAGAATGTCTCTTTAGATATCTTTGTACTTATTCATAAAATTCATTTACATATATACGTTGAATCTCATGCACATTAATATTAAATAAATTTTATAAATTCACATAAATTCAAAATAAATTCTTACACATTTTATAAACTAATTTTTACCATATATCAAATTGTTGTTCATGAATAAACAGGAAAACAGAGCAAAAACCGCCACGACACATGATGGCAATTCACTACCTGAAAACAAAATCAATATTGTTACGAGAGAGGAGTGACGGCGCGTTTTATTATAACAGACAATATTATAATTGGAACCAGACAGAATGCGAGGTCACAGTTCTGTTGCTTGTCAACCACCTCAACTCTCAACTTAGCTGGTGTCCTCAGAATCCGATGACTCGACGAAGATCGGTTCCGCACTCAGAAATCTTGGCCGCTGGAGCCACCGAGTGAGTTCTCAGTCAGAGGGAATTCCGGGCTCTGCTTCACCCCGGGTGAGTGAAGAGACTGTGACGAAGCCCAGGAGGCAACATCCCAGAGTTTCAAGGGTCGTGGAGGTTTTGGAGCACGTCTGAATGGAACGGCTCTGCGACGGGATTGAAAGAACATTTTCAAATGTAATAGAATTCCGAGAGCTATAAGAATCGCGAAATACAGCACGCGATTCATCTTCTTTTCAACTATTTGATACAGTTATTTTTTCATATTTTCTCATTAATAAGCAGCATGTTTATTCACTACATTAGTTGCACTTTTTTCAAAATCCTCTCCGTCGGTTGTCACATGATTCATTTTCTTGTCTACTACTCAGAGCAATTAACTTGAAGTTTCGACATTCACAGTTTCAATTGATATAAACAACAACTTGATACATAAATTACGCAATATGTTAGGTAGAAAATGAGAAACCTTTCAGAAGTATTTTTTTTTCGTTTGTTCTTTGTCTCTATTATTGTTAATGATTGTCAATTTAGAAGATGCGTGAAGTCACAAAAAGATCAGTCTTAGGCTTTTAGCTATAACCCTTCATAGGAAAAATAAGCATGCTTTATGTTGGGCAACTACTTCTTTATTATTTCTTTTGGCAATCGTAAATGTTAAGTGAACTAATTTTGCACTCTCTAAAAATATCGCAAATAAATTATACCAAGGAATTTCACATCTCGTTGACATGAAACTATATCACAATTTCGTAACCAGGTTCCGAGAAATGTTTCCGCCTTTTGCTTTTGAATGTATTTTTGTCAAATATTCATTTGTCGGGCTTCTGTTAAAAGAAAATTCTCGTTTTGATTCGTTATGGAAGTTTTCAAGTTCACAGAGCATATACGTAAAATTTTCTCGTGTGTACACTCCACGATTTTTTTAGTTCCATAAGTAGGCCAAATGGACTTCGCTCCAACAGAATTAACAAAGTACGAACATACAAACCCTGACAACACATTAATATACATTCAGAAATGATGAATACACAATGCAGAATAATATTTTAGCTTTTGTTTTGACGTCGCGGGTCGCTGTTTGTACCGCCAGGCTGATTCATTGGGAGGCGCGAGGTTGTGAGTAAACAGAGTAATCGGAAGCGGGATGCCTGGATGAGGCATTGGCCAGCGCTCGAAGTGGTCATGTGTGCAGGCGGTCGTGGTGAAAGTGGCGTTGGCGTGTGGCGATGCCGGTGATGGAAGTAATGCTGCGAATGTTAATATGGGAATGGTGATGTCAGTTGTAAATAAGAGAAGGCGGTGGTAGTGGAGGGGGATGAAAAGTAGGAAATGGTGGTCTTCGAATTGGAAGTGGAGGAGTCGGTGAAGTCAGCGGTATTGGTTGTAGTGGAGGAAATTGTGGAAATGCAGCCGACCGTGATGCAAGAGTCAATAAAACGATAAAAATGATGAGAGAGAATGGGTGGAAATGCCGATGAAAACCATAATAGCTTTGGGGGAAATAATGGTGTGAAGGAGAGGGTAATATTGTGAGATATAACATTGAATCTCCAGGCAATAGTTTCGAGCATTTCCCAGCGCCCGATAGTACGAATCGTTTGGTAACAAGCTTTGTTGAAGGTATCAATATATAAATATTCAAACTCTTGAGAACAAATTACATTTATTCTCAAATAGTATTCTCAGTACTAATTCGGGAATGTAACTAACACAATGCTGCAACGTTGATGCAAGATGTCAGAATCGAAGTAATTTAACATTTAAAATTCTAATAGTTTTTTATCGTTTGTATGCTCAAGTTCATTTTTGAAAAATTACGAACTTTATGAGTAATATAAAATATATAGCATGGTCTTTTACGCTCCTTGTTAAAAGTTTTATCACAAGAAAAATGAGAAGGCGGATATTTATGTATTCTTAAATATCTTTGGGTCGAACAAAATATCAGACACATTACAACAAAATAAATTAACTCGTCATACATAAATAATTTTGTCTTGTAAATGTAAGTTAACACAAAGAGAGGCAGGTTTCAGGCTATTAAAGCCCGTTAGTTCTCGTAAATTAATTCTGGGGCTGCTCACAGTGTGATCCCAAAATGTGAGCTTTCTTTCCAAAACGCACCAATCAATAAAATTCGAATTTTACAATTACGTTCTTTAATGTTTGACTTTAGGCATCCGTTTGTGACTGATGGTAATATTTTAGTCAACATTTTAGTCATATTAATGAATTGTGAATTCACAATGAAATTAATGTAATTTTTCTACGTCTTACATGCCGTATAATCATAATTAAAAATAAGAGAACGCAACAGAAATTACGAAAGTCGAAGACAAGCAAAATCGCATTAAAATTTTAATTATTATATAATCCTATTTAATTTTTTCTTCCCGCTATTGCATCACAAATTCGCTTTTCCTCTAAAAGCAGGTTTTTGGAGAATGTGAGTTTAGAGAAGGAAAACTCACAAATATCTACCGAACTTCTCTGCCCGAGTTTGAAAAGCAGCTTACCTCCCGAGTTGTAGAACAAAGAGCAGCTCCTGTCATCCCTCAAAATCCTTCCTCCCCTGAGACGGGGCCTTCGCGCGTGCTTCGTCACCGGCGCATGCGCCGTGGCTGATTGTGAGCCGGCTGAGTCGTGCTGCGGACTTGGACCGCGCCGCGGCGTAGTACAGGGGACCCCGCCCCGCTCCACCCGGCCCCTTTCGCGCCGCGCCCCTCCAAGGAGTCCATGGGTCAAAACAAGCGTATACCGACTGCATCCCGCGGTCAACTTTCTCTAAGCCATTCCCACCAAGGGATAGCAGAAAAGCATTGATGTTTTCAAAACATCATTTGCAGAAACATTGTTATTATAACATGTAGCTAACTATTTAGCTTTCGATGTTTTCTTCAGATCGATATATTTGTTAAGAAACATCGATGTTTTCAAAATCAATTTATCATGATATAAATCAAATTTCCAGTATCTAATTTTTGGTGTGGATTGCTTGCAATCAACAGCCATTGACTACTATCACTGTTGTCAATCCCCAGACGGCACGAAACTGTTTGCTATTCGCAACTTTTCTCCAGTGTTATGACATTTTTTGGTTATTATTTACAAGGTAATGTCGTTAAACTGCACTTCAAACCTTGACTACACATTAAACATTGATTATAAAATGAATATGACACTCAAATTTAAGGCAGAATATACTTTAAACTAATATTGGCATGTTATGCACCATATTAGAACCCGAAAATTTTACTTCAAAATGTTTCATCAAATTTACGAGTAAAAAACCTGATCTTACGGAACTAATGACCTTATCAGTACACACCCGAAATTACTAATTATATAATCAATCAACTCCTCATCCCTTGTCACCACCACCTCAACTCCACGACCACTTCCACTCATCAGTGTATTATGAGTACTCTCCTCGAGAAGATTCGCCTAACGGGTGACAACCAGATACAAATATATCTTTAAATACATATAAACAGCATTTAACTGTCACAAGCGTCACAAGTCAACTGGATGACTAATCTTGACTTTACCCTCCATCTTCATAAAATGCCGGTCTGCTTCTCCACAGGGTAAAAGTAACATTATTACGAGTATTTTGCTCCCCTCTGAACCACTTTCCTCAGCTTCCGACACAGTGGACAACTTACTGCTGTTTACCCCATTTCGCACCATTTCGCAAATGTTTTGAGACAAAAATCCAGAGAATATTTAGCGAGAGATAAAAGGGCATGTTAACTTTTTATATGTTGAGTGGCGTGATAGTAGCCGTAGATCGTCTAATGTAAGTGCTAACAAATTCTGCAATGATACTTTAATTGAAATAAAGCAAACACAATTTTGTTGAACTTCAGTATTAACACTATTTCTTATCATATTTAATACTAAACACATATTAAGTTAAGGTGTTAACAAGCTAAAATAGATTTGAGATTCAATAAGCTGATTTTAACTTTTCTATTTTTTAAAAATATTATTTCGCCTTGCTTTCCTCTAAGCTTTCAGGAATCTACTTTACACCGCCATTATATTAATTCACGTGATATATCGTGCGAGTTTAACATCTACAATATAACAAAACTTTGATTATCATACGAATGTATATAAAATGTTTGGTTATCTATGAAATGTGATAGCGTAAGAACTACTTTTTAGACAATCATTTACATGTGTTCTAATTACAAAATAAAATATGCCAAAGAAGATAATCTGCATTTTAATTAGCCCATTCTTCTTTTCCGGCGTATGTAAATTAAGGACAAGAAGTAAATTGAGAGTTTAACCCATATGTAAATTGCGGACCTACCCAGCGAATGGCATACGTAAATTGCGGACCGTCCACCTCATCCCCTTCCAGGTACAAGTGGAAGCTGACACTTAATTTTCCAATAACATTTTTGTAGCCATTAGATATAAAACACAACTCCCTCCCCAATTTTCAGACTTAAGGCTGGCATACTTCGTTCGAAATACGGTTTGGTTAAAGTTGGTTTTGAATTAATTGAATCATTCGTTACTTGAATGAATTCTGCTTTCTCGCCATTTTATAATCTCCATTTTCTCAGCTAATATTGTATAACGATGATCATGAAATTTGGACACTCTTCTAGTACTTTCTTTGCTTTTCATTTTGATTCACTAGACAGTTTGGAAGTTTTTCAATAAGCTACAAGGAAAAACTCGACAGCAGAGCGGCGGCGGCCCTCCTAATGCGCTCTCGTACCTGCTCAATCAACCCTTTTCCTTACCTGGGTCGGTTTGGTCCGCAATTTACGTGTAGAATTTGAAAGATAGTTTAGTGAGGAACGATTAAAGGTACGTTTACACGAAGAGACAATGTCTCCTAACTTTCATGAAGTTAAGAGAGAAAACTCCGTGTAAACGCGCCTTAAGAGATTATTTGGTCCTCAATTTACATATATCCTTTTCACTTTTCCATATACATACGTTCATACGGAGTAATATAAACATAACAAAACTGTGATTATCATATCATGCACTTAGTACGTCATACATGTATGTATGTACGTAGTATAGGGAAAGATATGTACTGCTACGGAAAATCGATATCTAGATTTTCACGGAAATGCACGTTTTGGAGTCCCGTGATACCGAAAAAGTGTTTTTTTTGGAAGGGCCGTCAGGCTGTCTGTCCGCCTGTGAGCACTACAAAGACCTAAATCATACCTAGGATTTTTTTAAATTGAAGAAGCCCCTGTCCGTCTGGCGCGATTCAAAGCCAGACTTCGAAAGACATTTGACCAGAGACTTTGAAAAACATTCTTTAAAATTTGGGGGTACTCTACATGAAGCCCCTAGGGCATTTTCAAAATTTTATAAAAACGGCTCGAAAGTTTTTCTTTAAATATCATGTACAAAAACATAGTAAATTACACTTATAAAGGTGGTATAGGTACGATTTTCTCTAAATTTTCGGAATTTGCAAAAGTGCATTTTTTCCGAGTCTTCCTACAACTACAAAATTGAAGGTAGACATTTTTCCATCAAATAAAATTTTTCTCCATAGTGAGTTCTTTCATTAAGGTCATGTACGCTTTTTGAAAATTTTTGTAGTTACTCGCAATTTAATGCATCACAGTGTAGTTCCTTACGAGCAATATGTGCAATTTTAAAAAATAACAAAGACAAAATTTTCTCAAAAACCACTCCAATTTTTTAAAACTTTAAGTAGGGATAGTGCTAAACGTACTCTATAAGATGACATAAACGCCATTGTTATATTCTTTTTTATTTTTCAAAACTTACATAAATGTAATTTTATTGTACTTGTTTCTCACATCGTTAATATTTATACTACCGGCAATTAGTTCACATTATTGTATTTAGGAGTACACATGCTTCAAATAATGTCAGATAAAGTTTGTCGAAAACTCAATCGTTTTCTATGAAAACTAGCTCAAAATTCCGCATTTTCGTAAAACGCTCAAACGCCATTTTCTCAAAAATAGCTCCAATTTTTTCTTGGAATTTTTCGTATGAATAATGCTAATTGCGCTGTTTAAGATGACATGCAATTAATTTTGCTGTACATTTTTTGTGTTTTTTTAAAAAATCATGCAAATGTAATTTTATGAAATTTCCGTCACGCAGTTGACATACATATTTCAAATAATTTGTGGACATTATTGCATTTGTGAGTGGCAGTGCTTTAAATGACTTCCCATTAAGTTTTTCGAATAGACAAAAATGATCTGTGAAAAAAGCTTCAAATTTCGCATTAACGGTGACGCTTAAACAATAAAATCTTAAAAACGACTCCAAATTTGTCAGTGAAAATTGCAATTTAGAATGAAGTTTTACATTTCTTCTTAAAGTAATATTTCAGTTCTACTATTAGGAAACCGAAAAATTGAGAAATTAAAAAAAAAAAAAATAGGCGGCGAAAGATGGCAGCTGGCAGGAAGAAAACGTGGCAGGTCCGAATAGACCAAACCAATGAAAATAGAAAACTTATACGAGAAAGTCTATGCCATTTTGTAGCACCACTAGTTTCTCTAGGTGACAAAAAGATGGGAACGTAATCGCAAAATACATGTTTTTGAAACCAAATGCTATGTACAAAATATTTTATCACTTCTAAGAAAATTTCAATTTATTTGTGGCTGATTTGCATGTATATTGAAAGGCCAAAAGTGGGATAATCTTCACAATTCTGTTTATTAGATACGAAGAATCCGAGAACCATTCAGAATTCGAATTATATAAAAGGTTATTAACCTCAGTTAAAAACGCAGTATTATTTCAACGCAGGCATTGAAGACGTTCGGAGATCATTCTCGAGTATGGCCCACGAGTTTCAGAAGGCCTTGACCGACCGAGGGTCGCAGCTCTGATTTATGGCGTCGTGCATCGTTAATGGCTTCGGCGCGGCAGCAGAGACGTGCCTCGTGCCACGGAGCCACGCGGTTCGGCATGCAATGACTCCAGACACCACGCGTAGGGATGGCAGTTAAAAGAAATCAACATACCCACACGCTACTGGCCAAGTCAATATAAATTTGATAAACTACACCGTTAATAAAAATTTCGTTTTTCATCGAGAGAGTAACGCAAGATGAACTGGGAGGTTACTTAATCCAACATTACACACGATCTCTCGGATGACCGAGTAGTTCTTCCAATGAAAGAGCTCCATAGAAATTTTTCGAACCACCGCCCTCGTCACAACGCCTGACCTTGTTCGTCGTTGCCATAGCTTCGTGCCTTTCGTCTTTATTCTGCTAACACTAAAATATTCTGAATCAAATCGTGCGCGGCGCAGCTTCCCGCAGACCAGAAAGCGTAGAACCATTTACAACTGATAATTTTTTAACACACCTTGTTCTTATTAGTAATAAAATTATATTTTAATAAATTTCTAACGCTTCTGGGTCAGAAAATGTTGCAAATATGCGTTTTTAACTTTTACTTGCGCGTGTGCGACAGAGTTAAATCTACACTTTAACATATAAAATGTATACAATTTAGCCGAATTTGACTGTAGGTGACTCATATTCGTGGTGTATCATGATTTCAGAGTAAATAGTAATTAAATACAATAATTGATATTAACCTACCAAAGTCCGACACAAGTTTGCAAATAGTAGTTCTCTCATATTATCACGTGTAAAGTCTATAGGATGATGTGAAATGTAA